AAGTCACTTCTGCTTTCAAAGGGTTGTTTAAAAAGCTCATTGTGGAATTGACTGGTGAGGTTTCACTGATTAGGTCTGGGGCTCAGTTTCCACCAGCTGGGAAATACCTACATAAGAAATCTCTCTGAAATAAGGAATGTTTCTGAAACTGGCAAAAGTTAAAAGTAACTGCTGTGATCTTCTTTGACCTAATCTGCTAGGAACTTATGTGGATATACTTCCTTCAGCATTGAAGACTTGTGTCAATAACATTGGCATGAACGTATGGAATGAAGTTGACTTTCAATAAGCAGCCGACAGGTCCACCAGGATGGCAGGCAAGAGCCCCCTCTAAGTACACTCTACCTTTCCTCTAGAAAAAAAAGAATTCATGTCCCTCCAACAGTGACGAGGTTTGTGGGGTTTTTTGTTTCATTAAAATAAACTGTACAGCTGGGCTATATTTGTTGCCCATAACAATTTGCACTCTGTCATTTTGTTGTTTAGTTAAAACAACTGGCAGTAATGAAGTAAGGGCAGGTGAATGCGTTACTATGGTGCCTGCTCATAGCGCAGAAAAACAGGTACAGAAAGAGCTCAGAGACAGGAAGGTCACACTCCTTGCCAAGGAAATTTATAACTTTTAGTTCAGATTTTGGTGTTAGTCAAATTGCTTTTTCTGATCATCCTTTGCTGGATATGCAAGTTAAATTATGTGACTCTATCCCCATTTGCATTTTTTACTTTCCTTTTTTCTAAATGTTATGTGTCTAAACCCAGAAAGAAGAGCATTCTGAAGTCATGGGATGCAGCAGATACCACCTCACTCAAACTTCCTTAGAAATGAAAAATCTGTCTGGCTTGTGGTTTTGACTGTTTCCTGTGACGCAGAGAGAAGAAAAGCATCAAGTTTTCTTGCAGTCGCTAATTTATCATTAGCGTAGTCTGTGTCTGCTTTTGGTCAGACATTAAGTAAAATAACATTTTTGTAGTAATAGATGTACTTCCTCATGAAGCGCAAGTTAACTGTGTGACTCTGGTTTGCCAAACAAATGCTTATGCTCCCCGGCTGCCTTGTCCCATCTAACCCAGTTAGGGCCAGGAGAACACACCTGTCTCCAGAGACACTAGGTACGATCCCTTCACACTCCCTCCACCTGACAGGTTGTTGTTAGTATAAGGAGTACTGCAGGTGCTAGAAAAGATCAGCAATAAGAAGATACTTTACTGGTAAATATAAGAACAAAGGGCCTTGTTTCCTCAGTCTGTCCAAAACAGCCTTCGTGGTAGCAGGTGTGCATTTCTTAGACGTATTTAATCTTATGCAGAACACAATTGGACTGCAATGCTGCAGCAGGTAGAACCCAAGCCACGGATTTACCTTTTTTCCCCTGTCCATATTCATACAGATTGTTACTAATTTCAACTGAGTCATTCACACTCAAGTCAAAGGAAGGAAGCAAGATAAACTTATTTTTTAACAAGGTATCATGCACAAATAAGAAGTGTTTAACATTTGGCATGTTAGGTTTTTTTATATAATATATATATATTAGCAAAATATAAACAGTCTCCCTTCAATTTTGGCATACAATTTCTACCAATAAACGTCAGTCTGAGGAAAGCAACACAATAAAGAAATCCCATTCTTTCTCAGTTCTGCTTGAACATTCTGATAGCTGAGGATACATGAAAATTCCCTTTGTTATAAATAGTATCTAATTTCTGTTTTCCCCAGACTGGAGATATTGCACATCCTTTCTGCCCTTTCATCCATTTATTGATCCACCTTATCAGCACTACCTCAGTCATACTGGATGGAGTCAAAGAGATTTCCAGCAAGAAAAACTGTGATCTAAATGAGGACAAGGAAGAAAAGTTTCTCACTTTCCTTCTTACTTTACTGCATCCTATTTCTTACCAAGGAAAAGTTCAAAAAAGGCTTTCTCCCTGAAAAAATTCACAGACACTTCAGCAAGGAGACAAAACGGTCTGCTGGGGCACTTGCCGAGAACAAGTAATTACCTAGCATTATCTTCTGCCAGAATGGACAACACCAATCCAGATGGACTTTCCGATCTCTAACTGTCTCTATAATAAGGACCATGTCAAAATGTTGATTAAAAAGTCCCACATATATATGTGGTTAGTAATATTGAAGGCTACAGGCAAAACTAAAATGATTAGTAAAAGAAATTTGACTGTTCTGCACACAGCTTTCAAGCATATATTGGCTAAACTTACATAGTGGACCTTAATTTCTGAGTCATTCCATGAATTATAGACTATTTCATGCACCTCTAGCCCTTTATTTAAGTGAATTTATGGAGTATCCATGTATGCATACGAATGCCATTTTTTAAAAGGTTTATATATAAACATGCTGAAATCAGCTGCTAAAGAATATGGTCAGTTTGATTTTCTTCCCAAGCTTCCTAAAGGTCATACCATGATTCAAGTCTGTTTCCGAGAACAGTTTAGCCAGTTTGTCTTGATCTACAAAGATGGAGATACAGTCCAGAAATAAGCTAAAATTCCCACTGGCTCTGCAGATATACAGAAGCTAGCTGGTGCTAGGAAATGTGCGTTCAACCAGCTCAAAGACTGTTGATCAGCTATGGCTGGCAAATATTGCAAATCATTAACAACACACTGCAAATATATGGTATCTATGCATCTTGGCGATTGCAGAGTCTTTCATTCTCTGTCAGTTCTGTGCTGGGACCATAAAGGGCTGGTATAAAGGATGCCATAAAAACTTCCTGTTTCCACAAATGTCTACATCATGGCTATGAGCAATCAGTCAACACCTAAAGGGAGAGCTAATTAAAATCAAAATAGAAAGATGAAAGAAAGTTAAATTTAAAGTTTGGGCAGAGAATATGATTACTGCATTGAAGTTTAATTAAAGAGACATCACAATAACTTTTTTCACCCTCATTCTTTTACTTCAGGGAAAACAAGGTTTAGTTCTTTAAACCATCATTACCGTTGCTCTTATTGTTTCACTAGGATAACAGAGGGTGAGTGAAAGGGAATTCTTGAAGGAAATTGTAGCAAGGATTATTCCAACTGGATACAAGGCAAAAAAATCCTCACCATGAAGGTGAAAAGCTCAACAGGAAATGCTCAACTAAGCAAATGTGTCTGTCTATATTTTGGCCATGTTTGAGTTGGGATGACTGCTTCAAATGTACTTCAGAGGTCCTTTCAAACCTGAGTTAATCTAAGGTTACATGTGTGTGGCTTGCCAGCAGATAGTCTTGTATACATATGAGGATCACTAAAGCCAACTGACTTAGAAAGAAAGCTGAGAAAAGACAACATGTTTAGCCAGATTAGTTTTGGTATGAAACTAAAAACCTCTTTTGGAGGAATGACTTCATCTGAGACCTGTAAAAGCTCTCCATTTCATTCTCTCCATTTAACAATCTATAAATAAAAATCTTTTGGCAAAACTTAGTCTTTATTAATAAAGAGAAAAAGGTATAGAAAAAAGTAAAATAAAATTAAATCAATTCTGTAACAAGAGAAAACCAGAGGTTATGCAACAATGCACTTTGGCAAACTAAACTTTGTATTTCATACTGTAGGTGTAGAAAGATAAAAGGGACCTTAAGAGCAGAGGCTTTGTTGTATAACTGAGTGAAATTACTTTCAAAGTATTAACAGCAACCAGAAATCTTAGATGACTTGTAATAAAACTAGATCTTGAAGAAGAGCAAAGGCCAAGCTGACCTGAATTAGAGCCTACCACCATTCCTCTAGTGGTTCAGAAAATGCCTTCCCTGCAGATTAATTTCTGCAATTGGAAGAATTCTTTTGAACATGACCATTGAAAGGGTAGTCCGTCTGAATACAGAAATAGAAACAGCTGGTCAGACTCTGGAGATTAAGGTCTTCAGGTTAGAGAAGAATCTTACAGTTGCCCTAAGATGTCTCTAGCACAAATCCTACAGCTGATAAAAGACTGGCATAATCATATCTGAACCAATTTTCTTAGCCCTTGGCAGTACGGCAGGCAGATCAGATCACAGATGATGTTTCAGGTCCAAATGAGATTTAACTGAAAAGCTGCAACATCATCCCTCTAAAGTCAACATTAATTCTGAGACTAAGAATGAATGCCATTTCTACTGTCTCTTTCCACACTGATAATTTTTGCCAAAACATACCTTTGGAACTGCAGTCAGACCTATTTCAGCAAACACTGCCTCTGACTGCAACACACATAAGTAGCTCTGTATCCCAGGCTGACTCAGATCCTACTCATCCTCACTAGGGAGACAAGTAACTGATTTTGTGTGATTTCTGCTCTAGTTCAGAATATTAAATAAGATTGGACATAGTTTGAAAAGGCAGAAAAACATCGGCTGCATAATTAAACACTGTGAAAGTTTAACAAATTCAGTTTGTACTCTGTGGCTATATCCACTCTTTTGCCTCTGCAGTACTTACTCCAGTTAGGTTTGTCCTGACAGCAGAGATTTGCCTCCAAAGAAGAAAAAAATAATGTAGAGAAAACCATAAAATCTTATCTGTTGGAGACTCAACCATCATTTATAAGAAGATATAAAAATGTAAAGGTAGCTTCCTGAAACTCTGATTAATTGATAACTTTGCAGCTGTTTAGGCTGAATGCTGTTTGGGGCAAGGGTCATATCTTTTCACTCTCTGGGAAGCATCTGACACACACTTGCTGTTTTACAAACAAAAATAATGAACCACCACAGTGGTAACCAACCTGCTATTCCCAGATGCTTCTTAGTGATTAGAGTATATCAGAGAGGGAAATTATTTAAACTGAAACAAACCCCTCAAACTCTGCCTTTTGTAATTGATTTTCTTGTGACCACAGTGTCTTTTTTGCACACGTCAACTAACTCTATCACCAGTAGGACCACTGGAGGTTGAGTGTGACAGGGTACTACTCAGCAAGAGAAAAGGCCATAACCTCCTGTCCCAAACCCATTTACCCTAACAGAAAAGAGACTGTGGAGTGCATTACGTGGGTTACTCACAGCTCAGCTTCGATGCTCTGGTCAGCAGCTATGTAGTTGGCAGGGATGTAGCCCTGGAGCTTGCGGCCAGGACAGGCTAACCCTGTTGGCAGAAGTCTAGCATACCACCAGCCCTCGTGGGATGCATCCAGCACTTCAAGCTTATCCCCAGCTCGGAAGCTCAAGTCCTCCTCAGTGCGAGCCTCATAGTCAAAGAGTGCCACAAATCTGCAAATATTCACCAGATGCTGGCCAGGCAGTGGAGGTAGAGGTTTCTCTTTTATCTTACTGTCTCCATCTTTCTGTCCTGCTTGGAAGTCATGCCTTACAACAGCAAGGTTGGTGAAGACTTGGCCGACTTTCTCATCTTGCTCACTGTCACTCCCCGAGAATAAGCATGGGATGTAAGGCTCCAAACAGGCGCAGTGCTTCTGACAAAAGTTTCCCATCCTGTTTCCTTGTTCCTTCCTCTGCTTCTGCTTTTCTTTTGCTTTTCCCAGTTGTGATACCCTTAGACCAACTTTTGCACCATCAACATTTTAGCTTTTTGCAGAATTTCTTCTCCCTCTCTTCCTTTGGCACAAACTGAAACAACTCTTGGCACAGCTGGAAGCTCCTCCCCGAGCCCCACTGAGAGCTCATTACAGGCAGCTCTTGGATCAGGAGTGAAACCTGATATATACAAGTGTTGGAGCACCTGGGGAGGGAATTTCTCGCTTCCTCTTCTGAACAGGAAAGCAACAGAACAGCTGTGCTGGGCTGAGCTCTGGGAACAATGGGGGAGCGCGGAGCCTCTTCTGTTACAGCAAAACAATCAAGTCAGAACATCTAAGCAAGGGAGGCTTCTCAACTCCTGCTGCTTGAGATGGGTGTATTCTTATCTCAGATGGGGTCCTGTCATATGATCAGTGGTGAACGTCTGTAAAGCCTGCCTTGGTAATGATTAACCAAGCTGACCTGCCTGTGTCCTTAGCAGTCTCCAACGTGGACAGCTTGAATATTTCTTTTTGTTTCCTGGTTTGCGGTGGTTTCGGTTCCCCATGGATACCTTTGCTCACTCGAAGCCAGCAGACGCCCTCACCTGGAGCGCACCTGCACCTTCTGCTCTCACTCACACCCAGATGCTTTCCCCTGCTATGTCCTGCCCTTCAAACCACTCCTCTGGGTTTGGCACTTCTTACAAACAAAACCAAATATATGCAGTTTGCAGTGATACAGCAATAAGTTTTAATTCATTCCTTATTCCGCATTTTAAGGAAACAAAGACACCAGGCAAAAAAAAATTGCTCTAGGTGGCTGGCTAACTATCAATCATATATAAAATACAGCAGGTGTCTCCCAGTCACCATGTAAGCCAATGAAACTGTAGTCCTATTTCTAATGCAGCTATAACCTGGCATACAGACCAACCACAGCTGTCTGGATACTGCTGTGGCAAAGCAGCCTGGAGAGCTGACTGCCACATCCCAGCAGTGCAGCCCAAGCTTTATAATAGCCACAGCCTGGGGGACATGCAATGCTTGGAGCAGGAGCGGGAAGCACAGGAGACAGCCTGTTTGCATCATGCAATGGCATTTCAGTAAGAGGCAAACTCTTACAGATGAGAGGTCAATCAAAACCCACACATGGTCCTATAACTTCCCGGTGATAAAGAAAACTGGCTCCCATATTTTATTTTATTTTTGCCAGGAATAATCACTGTTTTCCTAAACCATTTACATATGTCTCTCATCTGCACTTAGTTGCTGTCTTGTGTTGCTTTACCGTACTAGAAAGAAAACCCAACTGAATAACTTGGAAACCAAACCCACTTGTTTTCGTCATGTCTCTCAGTCAGTCCTTTGAATGAGGAGACCAGTGGCACAGGCAGAAGCCCACTGATGGACTAGAAACTGTGGGATGACTGAAAAAAGTCTCTACTGAAAGTCTCCATTTCATGATTAGCAGGTGCGTTTCCACCAATGAAGGATGGGAGACAGTAAGTCAGCTTCATCAAGGGCCCAACTTAAATGCCTCTATGCAAACACCCGTAGCATGGGGAATAAACAAGAGGAGTTAGTCATGCGCACACCTGCAGGGCTGTGATCTTATTGGCATCATGGCCACATGGTGGAAAGCCTAAGTTGCTAAGCCATTATCCATAGTATTTGAGAAGTCGTGGCAGTCCAGTGAAGCTATCACTGACTGGAAAAGAGGAAAAATCACCCCCATTTTTAGAAAGGGAAAAAAGGAAGACCTGGGGAACTACATGTCAGTCAGTCTCACCTCTGTGCCTGGCAAGATCATGGAGGGGATCCTCCTTGAAACTGTGCTAGGGCACATGGAAAAAAAAAAAAAAAAAAAAAGAGGTGACTGGTGACAGCCAACATGGCTTCACTATGGATAAATACTGCCTGACATATTTGGTGGCCTTCTACGATGGGGTTATAGTGATAGTGGATAAGTGAAGAGCAACCGACACCATCTACCTGGACTTGTGCAAAGTATTTGACACTGTTCTACATGACATCCTTGTCTCTAAATTGGAAAGACATGGATTTGACAGAGGGACCACTCGGTTGATCAGGAATTGGCTGGATGGTCACACTCAAAGAGTCACAGTCAATGGCTCAATGTCCGAGTGGAGACCAGTGATGAGTGGCGTTCCTCAGGGGTCAATGTTGGGACCGGTACTGTTTAACATCTTTTTCAGAGACACAGACAGTGGGATTGAGCACACCCTCAGCAAGTTTGCTGATCATACCAAGCTGCGTGGTGCAGTCGACACACTGGAGGGAAGGGAGGCCATCCAGAGGGATCCTGACAGGCTTGAAAGGTGAGCCCATGCAAACCTCATGAAGCTCAACAAGGCCAAGTGCAAGGTCCTGCCTATGAGTCAGGGCAATCCCAAGCATAGATACAGGCTGGGTAATGAGTGGATTGAGAGCAGCCCTGCAGGGAAGGACTTTAGGAGTGCTAGTGGATGAAAAATTGAATACAAGCCATCAGTGTGCACTTGCAGACCAGAAAGCCAATCGCATTCTGGGCTGCATCAAAAGAAGAGTGGCCAGCAGGTTGAGGGAGGTGATTCTACCCCTCTGCTCCACTCTTGTGAGACACCACCTGCAGTACTGTGTCCAGCTCTGGGGCCCTCAACATAAAGACATGGGCCTGCTTGAGCGGGTCCAAAGGAGGTCCACAAAGATGATCAGGGGCTGCAGCACCTCCCTTGTGAGGACACACTGAAAGAGTTGGAGTCGTTCAGCCTGGAGAAGAAAAGGCTTTGGGGTGACCTTATAGCGGCTCCAGTACTTCAAGAGGGCCTACAGGAAAGGTGGGGAGGGACTCTTTATTAGGGAGTGTAGTGGCTGGACGAGGGGTAATGGTTTCAAACTGAAAGAGGGTAGATTTAGATTAGATATTAGGAAGAAGTAGTTCACTACAAGGAACTACAAGGCTGGAACTAGGTGATCATTAAGGTGTCTTGGCTGCCCCCTCCCTGGCAGTGTTCAAGGCCAGGTTGGATGGGGCTTGGAGCAACCTGGTCTGGTGGAAAGTGTCCCTGCCCATGGCAGGGGGGGTGGAGCTAGGTGGTCTTTAAGGTCCCATCCAACCCAAACCATTCTATGATTCTGTGATTCATTCTATGACTGCTTACTCACTCCTCTTCTGCAATGCTGCAAAAGGAACTGAATAAAGGAGAAAGTACCAGGCACTTTAAGTGATCACTAAGCCTCATAATCTGTAGTGAAATCTTTGGGTCTGATAAAAAATGGTATGCTGTTTTTGCAAGTTATGAAAATCATATTTAGTTTCTGAAGCACCACTGGAGATTATTTTTCCTCACAGCAATTATTAAGATCAGTAAGAACAGAGATATCTAAGAGATCTTTACTTTCTTTAGGTCTGGTGGACAATATCCAAAGTAAGGAAAGGCATGTGTTGAAAGAGAAACTATATTCATTAGTCTTGTTTAAAGAATTACCTACACTTACTGAAGCCAGAGAATCTTAGAAAAGATGCATTAAATAACCTGGGTTTCTTCAGTTTGCATGTTTGATACGTTTTTCCTGTAGTATTTTGTGGTTTTGGCAACTTGGGCGTTAATATGGCAAAGTTTTGCATACACATTTACTGCACAAAACAGTTTCTTCATGACAGTGGAGCCACTTGCATCTCATGCACTGCTTTTTTAAGGATCAAGACCCATCTTTACACTCAGATACCAATACACATACACATTAAAGTCACACTGCATTCACTGAAACCACTCAGATCAGGGCTTAAACTACAAACATTTGTGTGTGTGAATATCTTATCATCTCAAATAAATCCAGGCATTAAATTAATCTTCTCTCCCAATTTATGCCCCTGGTTGGCTTTACAAGACCAGAAAGACTTTTTGCTAGAAGTGATCAATAGCTATAAATCAGATTACTTTCCTCCCAACAAACTCTTCAGGATCAGTTCTATTTATGAAACAAGTAGACTTTAACAAATAGCCATGAAATTTACTGGTCAGTTTTAAAACTCTCCTCAAAATGAGAGCAGAGTGGAGTTGCTGAGAACCGCTGAGCAGATTCTCATGCCCGTGTGGGGCAGGACTGTGGCTGAGCTGTGGTGGCCACACTGCAGCAGTGCCTCTGCAAGTGTCTTTGTTCCCATCCCAGTGACTTTATTGAGGAGTCGCTGCATTTCTGAAAATAAAGCAGTACACTCTATGGTTTAGAGACTATATAATTTGATCACAGGCAAGAAAAAAATGAACACATAATAAAAATGTTCTTGCTGGTTTTACTGAAAAATATAAAACCTGATAAATCCCATAATCCTAATTTTCATGCTCACAGTTTGGAACAAATGAGGATAATCATGTATATTCAGGGGCTTTTCAATATAAACCATTGTCTGAGTCCTCTGCACTGGTATTACATATAATTTAACAGGATAATCTTTGCAGCATCTATTTCTTGCCTTAATTTAGTTCTTTTGCCTTGCATTCCACTGTACTTTCTTTTTGTAAAAAGAGGCCAAACAGATCTGTATTGCTTATTGGCCTTCTGTATCCTTACTTGTTTCAAAGGCTGGGTCAAACCAGAAATTGTCCAAATCAATTAGCTCCTTACAGTCCTCTAAATACATTAAAACAAATTACAAATAACTTAGTATTCTTTAGAGTCATAGAATCATAGAATGGTTTGGAAGGGACCTGAAAGACCATCTAGTTCCAACCCCCCTTCACCCAACACCTTCCACTAGGCCAGGTTGCTCAAAGCCCCATCCAATCTGGCCTTGAACACTGCCAGGGAGGGGGCAGCCACAGCATCTCTGGGCAACCTGTGCCAGTGTCTCACCACCCTCACAGTGAAGAACTTCTTCCTTACATCTAATCTAAATCGACCTTCTTCCAGTTTAAAGCCATTACCCCTTGTCCTATCCATACATGCCCTTGTGAAAAGCCCCTCCAGCT